TAAAGTAGTGATTTGGTCCAGCTGAAAAAGGTTAAAAATTAGCACTTCGGAAGCTATCAAAAGATTTCAAGACCCCCTTAACATAGAATTGCAGACTACACAAAATACGTCGGACCGTCGGACAAATCCGGTGAATAATGGATCGGTCTGGTAAAATTTTGTTAAATTCCGGTCCGAATGTCCGGTGTTATATTTTTCGTGGATTTTTTTAAAAACCCTACATTTTTCCCAATTTTGGGACCAAATTCCCAAACGATCTCAAAATTCATTCTCATCTTTATTATTCATGACAGCGATGTTTATTTTGTTCAACCGCTAGCTTTATGCCGAAAATCGCATACAAGTAATGTGTAAATCCGAGTAAAAACATATCTGACTGACAAAAACAACAATGGCTGCCATCAACCGGAAATATAAACAATACCGGATCAGATTCCGGGAACGGATAAGGTCAATTTCCGGGTTTGCCGATCAAATACAATAGAAACATAAAAAAAATCCAAGCAGGTTCACAAAATACAGCTATGAAATATAAACACTAGAATTGAAAACCAAAAGATATATGAAAATGAAAGAAGATACAGGAAATATTTTATACAGAAACTCAAAATTTTTAGTTCACAAATAATTTTCATGTCAAAATCCAATAAAATATGACATCACTTTTCTTTATCACTGAAATGCATTCAAGCAATTGTGCACAACTTTCATCAAAATACATGTATACACTCTTTGTCACATGATTTTGTTTTTGTGCATTTTGGAGAGGAGTAGGGCACAATAAGTCATAAGATTGTTGTATTTTGTCGGATAATATACAATTAGATGTAAAAAAAATTGGTCAGGTAAAATTTCATTCGGTCTGGTAAAGCTAGGTTGTTTACCAGACCGAATGTCCTGTAAAAATAAAATTCATTCGTGTAGTCTGGAATTGTCCATATTTTGAGTTAGAGCCGATGAAGTTTTCTATAATTTTGATATAATTTGTCCCAAAAGTAGTACAACACACTGTAAAAATATTATTGAGAAAGCGCAGGTGGGATTTTTTTTATTTTCATTTATTGTCTAAAAGAAATGCACTACGAAATAACTGTGTACTCGGACCTAAGAGGCCAAATCAGTAAATATAGAATCTGTACTTTGGCAACTTCCCTGAATGATTTAATGGTGTCAATTTGTCAGATAGCATGAAACTAAAGGATTTAAACTTTTATTTGATAGAAATTCTGCAAAAATTACCCATTTTGGCATTATATGGTCAAAATAAGCATTTCAAAGCTTTTTCAATTTTGATGCATAAGTGGCATTCTGACTTTCTATGTGACAGGTTTTCCTGTGTCAATATTTGTGTTTCTATGCTTTAACCCAGTTGTATTACTCATTTGTGAACTCTGAATCTACAGAAAATAAGATTATCTCAGACAATATGTGCAAAATGTGTTGTATAAATGACCCTCGTGTAACGGCCTGTTTGGATCAAGTTAAATGTGAGGACCTAGGTACATAAAAGTTGAAGTCCATAATAAAGATTTCACTAAATTTGTATTAAAAGCGCTTCACAATGTCTTTTGTACCTGTTTCATTTCACATAGTATCTTTCTTTTCTTATGTTAAATAGCAAGTGGTTCAAATATAAGCCTGCTGAGGCTAAAATTGCATGCAAGTTTTTCACTAAAAAGTGAAAAATCTTTGTATCAGACCATACTGTCTGCAAAAAAAGTTGAATGCAAGAGTCCTTTTATGCTCAGATTTATTGTATCATGTAACCTGAGTATAGAAATTATAAAAAAGACACAAATTTTTATTTCCTATAGCTTCAGTATGCATTTTTAAATGTAAATATGTGCTACGGCCTAAATTGACCCTAAATTATTTTCAGTCTTACTTGGCTTAAGACCCTTTTATACTAATATGGTATGCTACTTGTAATTTTTCTTTCCATTTAAAGTACATTTAATACATATGTAAGGATTATTTATAACCAAAAAACTCCACAAATTTAAAATTGCTGGAAAATAATACATCTTCATGTAAGGCCCCCTTCATTGGAAAACATCCATTTTTTGGCACAGGCTCATATAAATTTGACTTTTAAATAATTGTGATAAGTCTGATAAATCAAATGAGTATTCTATTGCTTTAAATACATAATATGTCATATATTAAGGCCTTTAAAATGTAATTTTTTGCAATATTTTAATTTTTAAAGCCCCAAATGTTGATAGTTGAAATTTTTCAATTTAAACGTCAAAATTTAACACGCGAAGTTGAATATAGAATTTATCATATTGTCTATAATATATATCCTATTGCCATGAAACTTTGTCAGCAGTCTCATAATTTATTAAGCTTTAGTCATACCAAGTTTTATTAAGATTGGTCAAATTTTTCTATCCTATTAGGTCCGAGTACACAGTTATCGTCCTTTGATTTTCGTTGTCCACGAATAAAGTCCCTAGTGTGGACAGTGTGTTGCTTGCCAATTTTTTTAGTACCCCTTCCAAATGTATTCCTTCATGTTTTATGCCTCAAATAGCAAGTAGGGGGATGAAATTACACTGTAAAAAAATTTGGGTCATGAATTGTAAAGTAAAGTAGTGATTTGGTCCAGCTGAAAAAGGTTAAAAATTAGCACTTCGGAAGCTATCAAAAGATTTCAAGACCCCCTTAACATAGAATTGTCCATATTTTGAGTTAGAGCCGATGAAGTTTTCTATAATTTTGATATAATTTGTCCCAAAAGTAGTACAACACACTGTAAAAATATTATTGAGAAAGCGCAGGTGGGATTTTTTTTATTTTCATTTATTGTCTAAAAGAAATGCACTACGAAATAACTGTGTACTCGGACCTTTCTGGTGGAATAAGTCTCCCAATGAATAAATTAAACTTTCTTTTTGTAGACTTATCCAAGATATTCCCAACAACCCATACAACATGATTTTTCTTTATATTAAACAATATATGTATAATTCTAGATGCTTTGAAAAGAATCTCTCATTGCAAGCAGCTATAATAAAGCTGAAAGATATGTATAAATCAGAGAGTATGATAGCTGTAAAAAATAAAAAGATAACTGAATTTGACAATGTATGGAATGTTTTTGAAAAACTTTTATTGAATACCAGCTAATGTCTATTTTTGTTACAATAACTTATGACTATTTATTTATAATCTATTTTAAAGAAAATATTATTGTCATGTTATGTACTTGATCTGTGTTGATGGCTGTTAGAAAGAAATATGTCTAGCTAATTTTGCAAATATTTTTCAACATAAATATTTGATATTTAAAATATAGATAGGGATGTAACACTGGATAATCCTTTTGTTTTTTATTTTTTTTATTAATTTTTTTTCCCTTCTTCTTTACTCTTAACTCCAATCTGTTAATTATCATTATTTATTTATTTATTTATTTATTTATTAATTTTTATATATTTTTTTTTTTTTATCTTTTCAATAGAAAATGTAAAATATTTCCAATTAAGATGTATTTATAATAATGACATTGTATATATCTTATATGTATCATATTGTATGTATGTCATGTATATGTTGTAATTGTTGGAAATAAAAAAATCAAAAGTTAAAAAAAAAAAAAGAGCCTGAATCGCTCACCTGTAATTTTTTTGCTTAAATCTTTCATCAATGACTATTTTTGCTTTTCAATATATATTAATGAGTGGTTAAAAAATGTCATTTAAATATGTTCTTTGTATCCGTCATATTTTCTTCAAAGCAAAAAAATGCATTTTACCCTTATGTTCCATTTTAGCCATAGTGGCTATTTTTCTTGACGTACAAGGAAATAAAATACAAAATGTATACTAGATACTCTGAAACTCATTCAGCCCAAGTTTGGCTGAAATTAATTCATCAGTTTCAAAGGAGAAGATTTTTTAAAGTATGCAAACAAGATGAACAAATTATGAAAAATTGTCTTTACAGGGCAATAACTCCTTAAGGGGTCAATTGACAATTTTGGTCATATAAACTTGTTTGTAGATCTTACTTTGCTGAACATTTTTGCTGTTTACAGTTTATTTTATCTATAATAATATTCAAGATAATAATCGAAAACTGCAAAATTTCCTTAAAATCATCAATTCAGGGGCAATAACCTAAAAATCAGATATAAGTCTTATCTTATGCATTTGTATGTAATGTGATAAAAGCTCTTTATACACATATGCATGTTATAGGGCCCTTTCAATGGAAAATAAAATATTCTTATTCTTATTCTATTTACATAAACATGTAAATCAACTTTTCCACACAGAGATTTATAAGTATTATGTATAGATAAAAGGAGATGATGAGATGTATATACCAAAGAGACAGCAAGCTGATGACCAAAAAAAAAAAAAAAAACATTCTGAGAGTATTGTATGCAATACATAGTTCACTTACAATTAAAAATTCATTGTACTGGAACAAAATGCTAACTTGCTCTATAACTTGTCATGGTGTAAACTATACAACAAATATCAAGTCAATATCTTAAAGCATGGAAAACTGATTATTTTAGTGATTTTTCTAAGTCCAAGGACCATAACTCTGCACAAAATCATCAGACCGGAACAAAATTCAAACTTCATCTGTAACTTATCATGATAAAACAATACATCAAATATTAAATCAATGTCTTCTAGCACGAAGAAAAAAAGTGTTATGCCAGATTGACGGACAGACAGACAGACAGAGTGCAAACCTAAAGTCCCCTTCGACTTCGTTGGTAGGGGACTAAAAAGACATTCAACAGATGAGCACACTTATTTCAAACATTTGCCCTTCACATATGCCAACATCTATACATATATTAGGCAACAAGTTTGGATTTATTAACTAACATTGTTAACTGACAACAAATATTACAGTGACATTGACAACTAAAGGCAACTGTATTATTGTAACTTCTTTGTACCAAGTCTGTTGTGTCTCTAACAATCTGTGACACATTTGTGAATATCTCTTTTTAATTTAGACAGAATATTTACCTTTAGGAGGTCCATCACTTCTTTCTTCTTCCTTTTTTCTTCTTCATCTTCATAGCTTTTTATTGTTACCAGATCATAAGGAGTCTCACCCTGAAATACAATCAAAACTCTTTTATCAATCATACAAATATACATCTTCTTTAAAAAAATAGGCAATTGTTGTACAGTACAATTTTACCTATACAATGTAGATTATGGTTTTATTTACATATACTTGACATAAAACCAGTCAACCTAAACCAACAACAAATATGAAGTGACATAAAAAAGAGCTACATGAACAATACTTGAGATTTTACTGTTTAAAAACATGAATAAACTAGACATCATTGAGATGGGAGCCATCTCTGTGGGCCCCGCTGAAATAATGTGTGGTAAAAAATTTGTATCTTTACCATAGGACATGGAGTTGTCAACTGAAACCAAAGTTTTTAACCTTGACTTTTGACCTAGGATGTTGTACATACATTATGACACATCCTCTGGTGTTGGTTAATATACATGTCAAGTATAAACTTTGAAATCATAACGGTTCTCAAGATATAGAGTGGACACGATCTTTACCATAGGACATGGGGTTGTCAACTGAAACTCAAGTTTTTGACCTTGAACTTTGACCTAGGTAGTTGTACAAACATTATGACACACCCTCTGGTTAATATACATGTCAAGTATAAAGTATGAAATTGTAACGGTTCTCTAGATATAGAGTGGACACAATTTGTTACGGACGGACGGACAGACTGATCACTATAGGGCGACCCATCACTAGGTGGGGCCCTAATTAGTGTAGTATGTAAATTATTACATTAAAACCAAACATACTGAAATAACTAGATATCATTGAGATGGGAGCCATCTCTGTGGGCCCGCTGTGAATAATGTGCGTTAAAAAAATTGTATCTTTACCATAAGACATGGGGTTGTCAACTAAAACCAAAGTTTTTGACCTTGAACTTTGACCTAGGAAGGTTGTACATAAAGTATGACACACCCTATGGTGTTGGTTTATATACATGTCAAGTATAAACTCTGAAATCATAACGGTTCTCAAAATATAGAGCAACACAATCTTTACCATAGGACATGGGGTTGTCAACTGAAAGCAAAGTTTTTGACCTTGAACTTTGACCTAGGAATTTGTACATAAATTATGACACACCATCTGGTGTTGGCTTATATACATGTCAAGTATAAACTTTAAAATCATAACAGTTCTCAAAATAGAGAGTGGACACGATCTTTACCATAGGACATGGGGTTGTCAACTGAAACCAAAGTTTTTTAACTTGACCTTTGACCTAGGAAGTTGTACATTCATTATGACACACCCTCTGGTGTTGGTTAATATACATGCTAAGTATAAACTTTGAAATCATAACAGTTCTCAAGATAGAGAGTGGACACGATCTTTACCATAGGACATGTGGTTAACAACCGAAACCAAAGTTTTTGACCTTGACCTTTGACCTAGGAAGTTGTACATACATTATGACACACCCTCTGGTGTTGGTTAATATACAGGCCAAGTATAAACTTTGAAATCATAACAGTTCTCAAGCTAGAGAGCAGACACGATCTTTACCATGGGACATGGGGTTGTTAACTGAAACCAAAGTTTTTGACCTTGACCTTTGACCTAGGAATTTGTACATACATTATGACACACCCTCTGGTGTTGGTTAATATACATGTCAAGAATAAACTTTGAAATCATAACGGTTCTCTAGATATAGAGTGGACACAATTTGTTACGTACCGACGGACGGACGGACAGAAGGACAGACAGACAGACTGATCACTAAAGGGCGTCTGCCATTCGGCGGGGCCCTAATAAAGTTATATCTGGTTTACATTAAATTTTGCCTGTCTCATTAACTTATAATGAGGGTATTATTATTCTAGTACATGCTTCATTGACAACCACTATGACACATGAGTAAAATGCTGATGTATCCCGAATTTAGCTTGATCGGCCAAAAAGGTATTAAGGCTATTTAAAAAAGATAAATAAACATTAGATAAATATTGACAAAAATTAAAAATTATTTTTAATGCCTTTTAATCCATATCAAATTATTTTAACGCCAGTCAAATAGATTCCCTTGCGGTCATTCAAGTTAGTTTCAGAACTAATTGGCCACGCCCCCGTTAAACTATTTCAGTCTGGCATTAATTCATTTTAAACATTGTTGAGAGCTGATCTTTGTATAGGTAAATCATTCAAGCAAAACAACCTGATGTATCTATCGTTTATTTTTTTCAACCTTTATCGATTTTAGATAATATACTTAGTAAAGTCACATGCTTCACAATTAAAACAAATGAATGAACAATACATATAGGTAAATTAAAAAAACTAAGAAATATTGATGCACGATTTAAAAATTGCAAAAATTGTGAATCTGTTGAAAATAAAATAGATAGATATATTACATAATTTTAATTTTTCCAAATGCAGTAGCCCTTTATCTCACATATTTGTTTCAAAGATTATTAACTGATATGAAAACTTGTGGCATGTAAGTGTGGTCTCTTACAAATACTTAAAATTAAAAACGGGAAAGAGAATGAGAAGGTCGTAATTGCGCCCATTGGCAAGAGCCTAGAAGTGAAAGATATTTTTTTTTAAATCAATAGAAAATAAATAGATTGAAACAAATTTGTGAGGTGAAATGATCACTTAAATTTCTGTTTTAATTTGTCATTATTATATGCGTAGAATTGATGTATTCCTGTATATTTACCTTTTCTTTTTCTGTTTTCCTATATTGTACTTGTTATTTAGAAAAGATCGTAAAAGGAACAGAAATTATTCATTGTTATTACATAATTTAAATCGATGCATCTTATATTTTCGGTAAAAAAAAAAACCATTTACAATTATACCGACATTTAAAAGAGTCTGTAATTAAAAATATTTTTTGTTAAATAATAAAATTGATATAGATAATGTTAACATTTGTTGAATTCATTTAGTAAACAGTTTAGTCTTGCTAAAAGTTGTAAATAAAGTAACAGCTTAATGAACTTTTCAAACTGTGTAAATTGTAATACCGGTCACTGGTGCATAACGTGCGTTAATTGTGGAAAAGCAGTAAATATCAAACGAAAATTGAAGCCTGGTTACGATTGTGTTAAGGAATTATCGTGCTGTCTGCACGTAAAAGAATTCTTGCAATAAATGAACATAGATTATGGAAAATATAAGATAAATTTCAGTCTGCGATAATAATGGATGGGTTTAACGACCTTGACTGGCTATTAAGCCCTCACAAGGTCGGTCCTGGCTAACGCCTTTTGATGCACTTAAATAACTTATTTTTACGTCTATGTTTCATCTAGGTGCTCTCGTTGAAGTCCACGTTGCATATTCAAATGAATTTCATTGGTCGAAATGTTTGCAAACTTTCAATCAAGGTGTTCTCATTGAAGTCCGCATTCATGTTTCAATAGGAAACTCAATATTGTAAAATTCAAACCAAGTTTCTCTACGATATCCACGTTAACAAAAAGAATTTAGAAAATTAACACTTTTATGATTCTTCCCACACAACAAAACTTTTTTTTTCACAAAGCATAATTGCTTTCTACTGATGAACAATACTACTATCAGTGGCGGATTTACCTGGGGCACAGGAGGGCACATGTTTTAAACAAATTTTACAAATAAATGTTTAGTGCCAAGAATGTTAGTATCGATATATGGGATATGTCTTCATAACAAAATTCTAACATTACCATTTCTTGTGATTTTTTATACTCAAAATTGTCTTCTTTTGACTTTATTCAACAACACAAATTTTGTTCATGCAAGATTTGTTTTAAGACTGAATGTCGTATTTTCTTTTCCCTCTTATTTTCAAAGGAAACTAACAAATGCTATGTTAAACAAAAACCTCCCCTCCCCCCTTTTCCACAAAAAATGGATTGGATTGGCATTGTCTAATATATAATCATCAATGAAATGCTATTTTATTTTTAAAAGACATACTTTATAACATAATCTGGGACTAAAACAATTATCTATTAGTCCAAGCATACAGTAATATATGATGGTATATTTTTCCTGTTTCAATTACCATGTACATGTACATGTATGAGGCTATGAATGCGTCACCATTTATGAGGATATGAATGGGGTTTACTGAAAAGAGAATAATGGGATAAAAAATAAATAACAGAAAAAAGAGGTGATGAAATATAAAAAATAGATTAATTGATTGTTGGTTGCTTCACGTCCAGCGGAAAATATGTCATGCATGTTAAGGACGCATATAATAGAGACCAATTGGCAGAAGAATAAAGAATAGAGTGAAATGGCAAAAAATTAAAAGATACTATAGAAACTGACACCCCTTCCCCCATCACCATTACACACGCATACATACATCTCTAAATAGATATTTAATTTTGGTTTCATGGTGACCCCCCCCCCAGACATCAAGGTTCTGGGTCCGTCCCCGACTATATTAGAATAAAATACAAGCATAAAAAAGCCTGTTGTATTCGTCACAAATATATGGTTGATTTTCAATGTATACTTACATGTATATGACAATAAAGACTTATTCCATCCCCCCATCCCCCCTTAGAAAAAATTAAAATCATACGTTAACTCCCAAATATATGAATTCAGTATATATGAATTCAATATATATATGAATTCTATAACAATATAAATGTATCAAAAGAATGAATTTCCTATTTCATTAGTGAATGAAATGTTATGAAAAAATGGATTTTGTCTTGTTTTTGGATATATATATAGACTATAGAGGCATATATTTTGGATTTTTTTAAAAAGTTTTATGCTTATAGGTTTTTATATGTCTCTGATAGTGTTGATCAGGATTAAACACGTGTCACAATATGATCCGATCGCAGCTTACCGTCCAAAATTGGTAACATAAGTTGAATGATTTTCTTCAAGATTTGATGCCTATTTGAACATGTTTTACACAGACACTTTTATTTATAGGATCAATCTTGCATTAGTGAGTTGATAGGGATTTTATCTTTTGATTAATTTTGACTTTTTTTAAGTATACTTCCTGTGGTCTTTTTTATTAAAATATAAATGTCGGTAC